TCTGGTTTCACACCCCTATCATCAGCACATCATTTGTCAGGGAAAGCTCACAAGCTATAGTGACAAAAATAACACATTCTCACTTCAAAGTCATGACATGCTGGCGCCTGGTAAGGATCCTCGTCTCATCATAGTTTAAGCCAAGGGGTGATTCTAAGCATCATTTTATGAAGCACAGGCATAAGTCTTAGTCATTTTCCAACAAAACTCCACCCAGCTGGGTTAGCAGATGGATCAGGTGACTTTTAATCAATAAACCTTTAATTCAAGCCATATCTAGAACAGCTTTCTGTACTTTGTTTCTCAAGTTGTTTTGACTTTTCTGACAATGTTTGTTATGTCTGGTATTAAATTACATGGTTGGTTTTAGGTGCTTAAACCTGTTTGGTGAGGTGCAAACATCAAAAATAACTTCTGTAGGTGTACGCACTATAACAGATACTTGGACTTTTGGGTGAAAATATATCCTTTCACTATCCTGTCACAACATTTGTAATAAGAGTCTCCAATTTTTCTTCTTCTCCTTCTTTTGGCTTCTCCCTTTAGGAAAATCTTAGCATCTTAAACTCTACCATCACCTGTCTTTCTCTAAGCCCTACATACTTGCAGGTCTCACTACCATCTTGTAGACTTTTTCTTTCCCTCTTGCTGCCATCCTTCTCATCACGAATCATCCCCACTTTTCCATGGTAAGCATATTGCATGTGCTTCAACAGCAGCGTTGTCAACATTTGCATTGTTGACCTTGGAGTCTTCATGGCTCAGAATGAGCCACTTCATATACAAAAACACACCCTGTACTTACTAATGAATCCAAGAGCAATGATTCCTGAATCCTCCGTCAGGTGACTGTACAGTATTAAACCACTGATTTCGGCAGAAACTATAAAATGAAGATTCCATCAGTCTAAACTACAGCAGCCGTTTGCCTGAAATTAGAGTGTATGTTGGATCAGTGGTGAAGGAGATTCTTTCCTCTTAGTTTCTGACAAACACTTCCACTTAAAAAGAGATTAACCCTGTCAGCCCTGATGTTAAGGATGAAAAGAGCTCCATTCAAAGCTTAATTGTGCTCTGCCATGTACCAAATCAATGGCAGAGATGGGATCAAAAGCTCTCCTTTAATGGGTGCTCACCTGTTTGCCAGACAACAGCTCCCAGATCAACAGCTTCCTCAGCTCTACAAAAATAAAGAGAAGACAGAAGCCTGGGCCAGCATGTGAAACCCAGTGACTGTGTGTGCTGCTGTCAACACCCCAGGGCTTAGAAATGGGAACTGGACCAGAAAGGTAAACACACAGGGAGGGCAGGATGGAGGATAGAAGATGGAAGAAGAAGGGAGGGGGGGAACCACCCAGAGATCATATGAGGGTTGATTTAAAAAAAAAAAAAAAAGGCCTGTTCCAAATGCAACACGGTGGGGAGCATTCATGTTTGACAGTTGGATGATACCAAGTGGGGGTGGCTTCCTTTACTGAATGGAAGCTGTAATAATTTCTGTAGGATTCATGAGGAAAGAAACCTTTAGAGATAGATGACTGATGGGGTTTTGGGCAACTGCTCTGTTTCACCAGTACATCATTTGGGTAAATTCAACCTGTTTCCTCCAATTCAACTGGCTAGTTATCCCTAAGGTAGCATTCTGCTCCACCACCCCCTTAAAAACCCCAAAGTCGAACAGAAGATAAGCTTTTGTCTTTCTTCTCCACAGGAGGTTTCTCTCTATCGATCTGCCAACCAAGCAGAATAAAAACCTCAGACACAGTAAATCTTATTCTAATAAAAGTCAGATTAGAGGCCTTTAAAGTTCCCTTACCTGTAAACTAGAGTAGCATTGTGCTGGTTTTAAACGATGTGAAGACATGATGACAACAAAAAAGATTTCTAAAATCTTTTGGATTACAGCTTTTAATATTGCATAAGATTCTCTTTATATGCAAGCTTTAAGAAATATTATATACTCTTGCTATATGTAGGGATGGGTATCGTTTAGGTTTTATCCAATACCAGTACCAAACCGGTACTTTTGAAACTGTGCCAGTGCTTAAACGGTGCTCGAACCGGTGCTTAAGGAATGGAGAACACAAAATTGGTCCAAAAACCTCTCATGTTCAGGTGTTTTTTTTGTAAAAAGATAACAATGTTAGCCTTTTCTGCAGCTATAGGGGATTTATGGTATCACTCTTGGTTGGAAGCAGTGCTTAATCAATGGAAAAAACACAAACTTTGTCCAAAAACCTCCCATGTTTAGCTGTTTTCCACTTTTTCTTTGGTCATTTTAGCCTTTTTGGCCAGGGTGAAGGGAGTATCTGCCATCAAACAAGAAGTCAGCCACATGTAACTACGACGGTGTTTGCTGGTTCACCTTACATGCATTAATTTAATTTAGCCTACTGAACGTAAATTACACACGAACAACATTAAGCTACTCAGGCAGAGAAGAACGGCTGCTGCTGCCATCATCATCCGTCATCATTTCTGCTACACTGGCAGGGCTAGGGGCCAGGACTCTCCTCTTCGGGTTTTTGGGGGATGTTGCTAACTCCGGGTCTGATAACAGGCAACCCACCCGCAGTAGATGTGCTCGGTGTGAGGTCTCGCAGCAAGCTATCAAATACGGCGCATTTCTCGGCTTTTAAAAAAACGCTATGGTCGCCAGGTGTTTCATCAGATTCGAGGAGTTGTACCTCCTTTGCACAGTATCACCTTAAAGCACTTGTTGCAGGCTGCTGAGTTTGCATCTTTTGCTGTGAAGTACAGCCAGACTTTGACCGCTTCGCCTTGGGCATTTTTAATCTGTAGCTCTGCTCTAAAAGAACGTACGTACCTGGGCCCGCCTACTACGCTTGCAAAGGTAAAATGATTGGCTAGAATCCAATATGACATCTCAGGGAAAAAAAGCACCGAAATGTGCGCTGCTTTTCGGTCTGGTTACTACCGTTTATGCCATAATGGTACCGGATACCGGTACCCATCCCTAGCTATATGTTCATATCATTCAAGTGAATTCCCAGCTCAAAACCTGACTCATTAAAGACAAGCTTTATGACATCTACCCAGTTGATTTGTATCCCTGTCACACTGCACCTGATGGCCTCCATCCAGCATCCCTCCTGCCTCCTTCCTGTTCCTCTGTGGTTGAGTGTGATGCTCATTGGCTTGATGTCGATGGCGAGCTCCACCGGCCTGCCAGCCCCCAGGTCTCTCTCTCTCTCAATCAGGGGACAGAGTAGGGGGACGAACCCCATGCTGGGCGAGGGAGAAAGAGCCCCGAGGGTGCTGTCACCCTTCACAACTCCACCCACGTAATCTTCTTCCCCCATCCTACCGCCCCTATCACCAACAAACACCCCCCCCACACACACACACCCAAGTTGAAAACCCTGAACTCGGGGGGAGGCTGGGGGTTTCCTCAGCATCTTCCAATGAGAGATAATTCAGTATATTTTTTTTATGATAATTTATGAAAATCTGTCTCCCTGAAGTAATTTCACACATGCAAACACATTCAACCTGCTGTGTGAGTCGTGGAGGTTACATTACAATGAAGAAGGGAAACTAGTCTCACTGTAAATCGTTTTCTTTTCTAATAAAAAAAGATATAAAAAAGGATAATTATAGATAAGAGCAGGATGAATTAGGATGAATTAATGTCAGCGATGCAGCCCGTTGGATGAGTTGTTTAACTTTGTAAAAGCATCCTTCATAGAAAGATTATTGGTTTATTGCTAAATAAACCAAAATGCCTTTTAATTTTTGTGTGCAGAAAAGCTGTGCATTATACCCCTTCACTACTTCTTATGTTGATGAAAAAACATCAGTGGAAATCAAGATCAAAGCTTGTTTCTGGCACTGAAAAATATATTTTTGCTATCAAAGTCCAAATTTTATGGTATTATCTCAACATTTCTATTTTCTCATTCAAAACTCTGAGGGAAACAACTCAAAGTTAAGATAATAACCTAAATTTTTAGATTATGGATTAAAAATTTTTTTTTTTTTCAGTTATAGAAACAAGCTTTCATAGGGAGTTCAAAGACAAATCAGCATCATATAGCCACTTGTGTCTATATCTAGACCAGAAGTGATCCAAATAAGTGATCATATTTGGATCAGAGTGGAGTGCTAAGTTATCAGCTAATGACAAGCTAAAATCAAAAATGGTATATGTGCATCATGTAGTTAAGTTGGTAAAGCTAAACATAGCAAGAAATATTGTTTGTTGAATAATTACGTTAAAATTCTCCAAACGGGATAGACTGAGCATGAACTATCATTAAATGGTGATGATGGTCCAGAGGTCCAGTTCAGGCAATCGAATTAGCTGAATCTCCAAAAGTTGATTCTGTTCATCTGGACGTAGCGTTTTGTGGGAGAAACGTTTCGTCACTCATCCAAGTGACTTCTTCAGTCTCAGCTGACTGCAGGTTTCCCCAACCTTATAAACAGCACATTTGCATAATGACTGAAACCAGACCACTGAAGGAACAATGGGCTGGGAGGTCAGTTCCTTAATCTACGAAACGCTTCTCCCACAAAACGCTACGTCCAGATGAACAGAATCAGCTTTTGGAGATTTACTTACCTGGATGATTGAGCATGCATCAAGACGAATTAGCTGAAGTGACACCTAGAAGATAGCTAGCAGCTGCAGACATAAGTTTCCATCCTTGAAAGAGTTATTTCTGTTGTAAATTTGAACATTTCAACATGGGGTCCATGGGGACTGACTTACCTTTGACAATTGACTGCGTTTTGGGCATCAAGTGGACATTAAGCCCCTTTTCCATTAGTACCTACTCGGATCAACTCGCCACAGATTGCCTCGATTCAACTCGGATCAACTGGTTCCATTACAATCCTTTACTACCTAAGTTGTGTGGTTGTCATCATACCAACGCATCAAAGCGTCTTGTGAAGTAATTAATATGTGACACAATTAATTTTTTACCTGCTCCTCAGTCTGTGGCTTTTGAAGTTTTGAAACAGTCTATCGAGAGTGAACTAGCAAGCAAAGCTGTAGCCTACACAATGGCCTCAGGTTCAACAGAACCAGAGCCTGCGGGGATGCTAGTACCAAAGAGGAACTGCACATCAGCCGTGTGGGAATATTTTGGGTTTAAAAGAGATGATGTCGCACAGAGTCAGGTACTGTGTAAAACCTGGTCTTGGTAGAGTTTCTACATCTCGGGGAAACACTACGAATTTGTACCAGCACCTTAAGACTCGGCACAAAATAGAGTATGGTAGATGTATGGCTAAAAAATCTAGTAGTGTGCAGAATAAACCTAGTAACGTTACTCGGCAAGGATCACTGACCGAACTGTTTGAAGGTGTTACGCCATATGAACGCACTTTAAAACGGCACGTGAAAATCACCAAAGCAGTAACCCACTGCATCGCGAAAGACATGATGCCCGTCAATACGGTGACCAAGCCTGGGTTCAATAATTTGGTAACTACACTGGATAAGAGGTACAGAATGCCCTCCCGCACGTATTTCAGTCAGACTGCAATACCCGAGCTACATATGCAATGTAGGCGGAGGGTTGCAGCGGAGTTAAAGGCTGTTGAGTTTTTTGCTGCGACAACAGACATGTGGTCAAGCCGTACAGCAGAGCCCTATCAAAGTCTGACGGTGCATTACATTACCGAAGACCTCCACCTCGAAGCTCGCAGCCTACAAACGGCCTACTTCCCCGAAGACCACACAGGGGAAAACATTGCTGCTGGCCTGAGAGAGGGGCTTGCGTGTTGGGATCTCCCTGAAGACAACCTTGTCTGCATAATGACGGACAACGTGTCAAATATGGTGAAAGCAGCACAGCTGAACGAATGGACCAGGCTCCAGTGTTTCGGACACAGATTGCATCTTGCTATTGGTAAGTTACTGCCGTAAGAGAGAGAGAGAGAGAGAGAGAGAGAGAGAGCATGCGTATGCATGTGCGAGCCTGTGTATCACTCTCTCCCACAAACACACCACACTATTATTTATCTTGTTCTTTACTGCTGTTAATTCTAGATATGTTATGTCAACCCCACCCTGATGTACCCACCTCTTCTTATGTATTTTCTTTTTTGTTTTTGTCTTATGGTCTTATGTTCTTGTATGTCATGATGTATGTAACAATAGCTTTGGCAACACTGTTCCCATAGTCATGCTAATAAAGCAACTTTGAATTTGAGAGAGAGAGAGAAATGGTGAAACCTTGCATCATAACTGCAATTGTATGTCTAACACTAATTTTACTTTTTTCCCTCCAGAAAATGCAATCAAAGATGGTAGAGTATCAAGAGCAATTGGGCTGTGCAAGAAGTTGGTGGGGCACTTCTCGCACAGTTGGAAGAAAAAGGCAGCATTCACTGAGGCACAGAAGGAGCTTAAGCTTCCTGAGCACTCTCTCATTACTGAGTGCCCTACAAGATGGGGGTCCAAAGAGAAAATGATTGCCAGAGTGCTGGAACAGATGAAAGCCATATCGCAGGTATTGACAGGTGACCGACATGCACGCTCCCTCATCCCAACCTGGCAGGATGCTGAAGTGTTGGAGTCCATTCATTAGGCACTGCATCCTCTCTACGAATTTACTGATGGTCTTTCTGGAGAAGAGTATGTGAGCATCTCCTACCTCAAGCCAGTTCTCCATCTTCTGGCAACATCAGTCTTGGCTGAAGATGCTGAGGACACTGATCTGACTAGATCAATTAAAACCAAGGTCCTGGCATACCTCAACGACAAGTATAGTGACCTCAACACCCAGGAGCTTTTGGATGTTGCGTCGTTCATGGACCCTAGGTTCAAAACGCAATACATCAGCGCAGACAACCTTCCTGCCATTAAGGCCCGACTGAAGACAGAAATGGTGGAATCGGCTAGACGTACACATAATCAGGTAAATCCTTGAAAATTATATTTCCACAAACACATAATATTTATATATAAGCTAACTGCAAAACTAATGTCTCTCTTCCCATCTGGCAGGAGAAGAGGTCTCGCACTGAAACTGCTCAAAATTCTCCAAGTGCACAGGCCTCTGGGGGAAAGGCAAAGAAGACTCTTGGTAGTCTTTTTAAAACCAGTGCGGCCTCTTCAGCTTTGCCTCTGCCACTTGAAGATGTCGTGGAGGCAGAGTTGAATAGTTACCTGTTGACCCCTGTCATTGACGGAGAGGATGATCCCTTAGCCTGGTGGAAGGTGCACAACATTCACTTTCCACGACTGTGCAAGATGGCCCGCAAATATCTGTGTGTGCCAGCCACAAGTGCCCCCTCAGAGCGTCTGTTCAGCACTGGAGGGAATATAGTGACCTGCACTCGCTCATCCTTAAAGCCAGCAAAAGTAGATATGCTGGTCTTCCTAGCAAAAAACCTGTGAGCTAGGATGATTATGGCTAGCTGAGCCATACTCATTGTGCACTTTAGTTTGTGCTGTGTTGCTGTTACTTACTGCAGATAATCAAGATGTTCAGCCAGTTTTAATTTAAAGGCGTGTTTGTGTGTGTGTTTATACAATTGCTATTATGTTTGCACTTTATGTGTAATGTTACTGACTGCAGAGATCAGTAAGATGTGTGTATTTTTTATTTATTAGTTTTATTTATTTAATATTATTTTTTAATTGAATGACTGTCTAGTAGTTCACAGATGTCGAAAAACTGAGTGTGGTAAAGCCACTGATTTTTTTTATGTATATTTCTGCAATCTGCACATTGTACTGACTTTCATTTTAATGTTTACACCAGGGTTCCTTGTCAGCACTTTATGCTCAGATGTTTGTAAGCTAAAAATAAACTATTGTGTATGTTCAAATATACTGTTGTGATTGAAGAAGTTAAATAAAAATGTCAGTCATCAATTCATGCATCACCTCATGTCATCATAACAGAGGTCTGTCTTCCAGGAAAGAACAGTTTAAAATTAATGTAATATAGTATTGGCCATACTATATGATGTATTGCTTGTCTTTGTTTAATAATACAGAAGACAAAGACCTTAAAAAATAATCGCATATCGCATCGCAATCGCAATATTGGGGCAAAAAATCGCAATTAGATTATTTTCCATAATCGTTCAGCCCTACACCACCAAAAACATCTCTCTTAAACCTTTTCTCAGGCGAAACGTCTTCAGAGCTGAATTGACTCATTACATCTCCCCTCAGTCGAGAAGACTGGTAGTGGCGGTGATGGGGGCGGAGCTTGCAGTTAGTGGCACTTCATTCATCTGGCTTGAGGCTTGCCTTTGTTTTGCTGGCAGGTGCTTCTAATCCCGCTGTCAGAATAGATGTTTGAACAAGCCCATGCTCAGAAGCCCCTGTTTCACGTAATGCAGCCACCCCCACCTCCCAAACATGTGATATGATCCATACCACATGGTATAGTCATGGCTGATTATCCTGTGAAAGAGGCTGAATGAGTATACGCCACGTCAGTCATCACTTCATGAGCTGTTTTCACGTTCACTGAATTTAAAGAAAGGAGACATGCAGGAAAGCTGTGGAGTCCAAATTCAGTTTAAGATGCTTAGAAATCAGCTGTCTGATGTTTTATTGTTTTCACAATTATATTCTTTAGATTTAAATCACTTTTATTAAAACTGGCTCAATTTTGGAGCTTAAAGTTAAATAAATTATCCAGATTGTTTCTCTTGTCAAGTCAGGACAGTGTTTTTTCAGATTTTTAGAGGATTTACCATGAACGGTGCCGACAGGATTCTAACTTTTGCCAAATCCTGAATTGTCCTCTGCTGTCACCGCAACACTGATATTTTTGGCTTTGACTGAAATATTTTTAAATTTTTGGATAGGTTGGCATGAATGTCATTTGATACCTTCCTGTTTGGCGATCAGGCACTTTATTTATGGACCATCTTTCTGTGAAGTTCAAAGAGTGTCAGAGATGACTGACCAGGGAGTGGCTCAGAGGTCCTCGTGGAATCACCCTTAAAACATAGATCAGCTGAATTTTCTTATTTAGGCACGTACCCACTCGTCCCGAGGACCTGCCTCATAGAGCAAGCTGCTAGCATGACTGTAGCTTCTATAGCAATGACATGTTGACGTTAAACCAAAAATGCAATTTTTTTCATTGCATTCTTACACCAGTGGCTGTCTCCAGTATTACGACTTCAGAGATTTTAGCCTACTAGCTTCCCTACTGCACACATATCTAACAATAAGTCTAGATTATCTAATGCTGAATGCAAAACTCCAGCTGCTAGATTAATGAACACTAATAATTATGTATAGATATAGATGGAGTTATATAAATAGATACACAGATTTAGAGATGGATAATATAGCTAGATATAGATGTATATAAATGTATATTTCACTTTCTTTATCATATATATTTCTTGGAGCGTGCTCTGAGAGGAAACATCTTTGAGATAAAGACTTTTTTGTCTGCGGGGCAGATGAAGTACCAAAGAAATAACTGACACAACCTGTTTTTGGTAAAATGGGCTTCACATTTAGTGGCTTTGAATGAAAAAAAGATCTCAGTCCTTTCAGTCTGTCTTGACCTTCCCTCAGGCGTCATATCTAGAAGCTTCTCCATCCAATAAGCATCACAGTCTCTGACTTTTCTATTGATGACCGGAAACTGTATTGTTCAGGTTTGAGATTAAGTGAAAAGGCCCACTTTCTTTAAATCTCTCTGATTTAATGTAATCTTGTTGTTCACAGTTATAATAACGCCATTGATTTTGCCCTCAGGGGTCAAACCCTGACCTCAAAATGGACCTCCTTTGTTTGGTCCATGAGGTTGAGGACCACGGTAGAAGCTCACCTTTTAATCTCAGGGGTGAACTTTGGGCTTGTGGAGGTCAGGAGGACACGTGGAGGATACAAGCTTGCTGAAAATCCTTGGGAAGTTTTCTCTCAGCATTAACCTGGTTTCTGCCTGCCAATGATGGTCTATTTTTGGGGGGAGAAGGGGCCGCTGCTTTATTTTGGATTCCTGGTGGCCCGGCTGCTCAGCCCGAGGTCTCCAATAACCCAATTTGAGTTGACTTTGCCCGTTCAGGGAGAGCCGTGGCCCGGGGCTACGCGCTGTTATAATTCAAGTAATACAATGAAGTGAAACATGACAGAAACCACCCACACATGCACGCATATATGCACACGAACACACACGATCACACTAATTCAGTTCATCTCTGAAAGGCTCTGCCAGGAGGATCAGGATCGATAGAAGAGAGGAACTTCCCCTCTCTCCACAGATATCACGCTTTATTGAATATTTGAATGTTTTAGGAGGACAGAGCTCTGTTCTTCAAGCATTGTATCAAATATCCTTTTATTTTTTCTTATGTTCACTAATTTCATTGTCTGAATAAAAGCCCCTTTCCTTGACGATTCAAAAGGTAAGGAGGTTATACAGGAACAAGAAAAGTCATCCTTTAAAAATAGCAGTGGCATTTTATTATTATCAGAGAGCTATTTAAATATGGAAAAACCTCAAATTCATTGGTATTATTGCATGATTGCCAACAATCAAAGGCTTGTCTGACCCTAAAAAGAGTAGAAATCTTTAGCAGCTATCAAAAATATTTGATTTTAGAGGATATGGGCAATTTTCTATGTATAGGTTGCAAAACAGTTACGATTATTGGTTATTTTAGTTACCAATTAATCTTTTTCAATAGCTGTTAAGTTATTGTTTCTTGTTCTTTTCAATATCTTTAAGAAAATGAAAAATGTTTATTACAATTCCAATTAGAGAGACTGATTAAAACCCTAATTCTTTTAATCAGTGTAGTTGGTTTTTACTGTTTTTCTCCTTTAACTGAAGCAAAATCGTCTTTAACTGAGTTTAATACAGTTTATAAACCTGACGAGTCATTTACACTAAAAGGAATCAGAGGATATTGATGGAAGAAGAAAAGCTTTCGTGTATTTGGTTGTAATATTATTGTCTAACAGCCCACTGTTTGCTGAGTCTGATCCTGGTTATTCAGGCATATATTTGGAGATAAGAGAAAGCAAAGTGACCTATATTTGATGAATGTAAAGACAGCGCTGAGGTTTGCAATACAGCAAAGTATAAACAAAACAAAATGGTAAATAGCTGCAGTGATTTATTGAAACGTGCAAACATATATGAACATAGAGTATGTCAGGCAGTTTGTACAATATAATGAGCTTGATAGTTAAAATTTCTTAAGACCACCTTTATTCTTCAACACAGCCTAAAGAGTCTTTCTGTAATGACTGTTAAAATGTGTGTTTTTCTATCGAGGTATCCTTTAGTACATAGAACAGTCTGTTTGGGATCGTTGTTGTGCTGAACAATGAATCAGATCCTTCCCACGTGGTTTTTCATGGAGGATCAAAGTCTGTTGGTACTTTTCTGTGTTCATAAGTCATCAATTTTCACAAGATCTTCCACACCACTAGTACTGAGTAGTACTGATGTTTCAGTGTCTGAAATAACAGTTCCTTCAGATCAGTTCATTGATAATTAAGCAAATCATTCGCTAACATAGCATCATTACGTATAAATAACATAAAGTAATCATAATTATCTGTTGTTAGGTGTTTCTGAAGCTTAATCTCAGCATGTTTAAATAAAATATTTGACACATATGGTTCATGTCACTGTCATTAAATTAAATGTTTTCAGGGGAACGCTTTGCGGCTTACCACAAATGCATGATAATAAACTACAGTCATCATTATTTTAGTAGAAAACAAAGCACAAGCTGGGTTCTGTTTCCTTTAAAACATATTAGCCGTTGCAAATTATTTTCAGGCCAGGCTGAAACAATAACTCAGGCTGGGAATCTGACCCCATGCAGGACCACCCTGTTCATGGAAACTACCAGATTGCTTGACCAACAGCAACAGTGTGGCTGAAAAATGAAACTGTAGTTCATCCGGTGGCCACTGGAGGTTGGCTCCAAAACCTGTGATGAAAATGGAACCAAGTGAAGGGCCTGGAGTCAACATACAGAAATCATTTCCAACTTTTACTTATTGTAGATAGATCTTGTTGACCAAAAGTATTCTTTCAGTCATCGTGGTTATTTTTATAACTATAAGACTGATTTATCCCAATTTTCTGGGTTTCAAACTCTTTTGAAGCTCAGCTACTAATGGAGAGTCCTGCCAGAAGAAAAAAACTGGATGTTCTCACATTTCTAAACTCCTTGTTCGGATGAAATCTGTGAGATGACTGAAAGCTGTTTCCTGACAATCAGGTACACTGACGAAGCTGCTACTTCCGGAGCGATATGTGCGGTTTAACCCACTCTCGCTGTTTGGTGTTTAACAATCGATTTCCATGCATGTCCCAGTCAATATTCATTAATATCTTGATTAATTGCCCAGCGGCCCCAGGAACCAGGTTCAGAGTGTGTTTGTGGACGAGCCGGCCGGGGCTGCAGTGTGCTGGGAACTTAATGGTGCATTGAAGGGCTGAGATGTGCTTGCTCAGAGCAAGAAGCCATTGTTTGACTTGGCACGGCTCACGGCACCCCGGGGTCCATGCCATGAAAGACTTTCTGTTCGATGCCCAAGTGCGTATTGTTGGAAAAATTGTCCCCCCAAAAAAATTTGCATAGAAGA